ATTGGATCGGCTTTGAGAGCTGAGAGTGAACAGGGCAATGTGTTATACCTACACAGAGGAGCAATTGGGTGACTGATTGCCTTTTGACCCTCTGTGAGTTGCAGGACACCACTTTGTCCCCAATGCTATCCAATAGCTGTATGAAACTGCTGGGTTCGCAGCTTTGGAGCAGAGTGTCATCAGTATGCAGTTTACACAGCTCTATTCTCTGTAGCATCTGAAGCAAAAGGTGATGTGCAGATCCTGCACTAGTGCCTAAACTCAGTAATGAGCTGGATGACAGCCAAAAAGCTGAAGCTGAATCCCAGCAGGACAGAGACCCTGTGAGTGAGAGGTTCCCTGTTCCAGAAAATGGGTCAGTTGTCCTGTTTTGCATGAGGTTCAGGCCCTCTGAAAAAGCAAGTGTGTAGCTTGGAGGTACAGTGCTTAGAGACTTAAGAGTGACCGGCTGCCAGTCAATACTGAAAGAGTGTCATGTGAGTTTGTATAAAGCAGTTTCCAATACTCCTAACCAATGCCAGCTGTTGGGACACCTCCAGTTTTCTAGTAAACAGCATTGTGAAGACAAGGGACTGGTTCTGCTGCTCCACCACACTACTGAATCCGAGCTGAGTTATTATCGCAATAGTATGTTTCTTGGATTAGCAGCGTCTCTGGAGGAATGGCAGAGGTCAAAGATTTCTTGGGAAACTTGTGACATTCATGTCAAACTGGCAAGGAAGATTTGGGAAAACACAGTAAAAGGTTCAAGCGCACAGTAACTATCCTTGCAATGACACTGGAGTCTTCAAACTCCAGCCTTTAAATAAATTGAATTTTCAAAAGTACAGAAATACGAATACAACCCCACCCCCACCCCCCAGAAATGAGAAAGCAAAAGGTAAAGCTACAAAGCAAAGTAAAAAAATATTTATGAATCTGATCTTTCTACAGGTTCGTAGTTTACTGCTTATGACATTTATGGTTTCAATTTCCAACAAACCTTCTAGGATAAGGAACTACTCTCAACTCCACAAAAAGCAGTAGAAAACATGCTTGCTTCATGTGACAGCCCTTGAGATATTTGAAGATGGTTATCATCTCTCCTCCCAGTCTCCTCCTTTTCCAGACTAAACATACCCAAATCCCTCAGTATCATGCCGGGAGTTTTCAAAACACCTATCGGCCGAGGTAAACTTGATAAAATGAAACCATACTGAACAGAATGTTTTTGGGGAGCTTTGTACATAAGCAAGTGGACCCTTTGTGCCAGCTTCTCTGACATTCCTAAGAACTCCTGGATCCTCTGCTATTGCTTGAGGTTCTGGTGGCACCAGAGGTGCAATTATGCTTTAAAAATGCAAGAGACTTTTTTCTGGTTTGTAATGCCACCTATAGATAGCTTTTAGCATTGCTCCCCAGATCTGGGCAGATACGGAGAGTGTTGGTTAGGGATGGCTGAATATATCCATTTTGGTTTCTCATTTTTCCAATTTTAAGGTCAGTTCTCCACATTTCCACAGCAGTGGAAATGTATTGGTTTTTTAAGCCCTCCTGAAAATGCATCAGCATTATACTCTGAATGTCTCCTCATATAACGTTGTTAGGGAATTTCCCCTAGTATACACATTTTTACATAGCAATTTCCCCATATAGCACAAATAGCAGACTTTAATATGCTGTTTTCATTAGTATATGTAGTTATATGCACACTGTACCCTAGTATATGCATTTTTTTGTACACAGGTCTTGGCTGGAGAACTGCAAAATTGTGAATTTTGTTTTTCAGTTTGCACCTTATTCTGGAACACTTGCATCAGGGAAGCTAGTATTTAAATATAAACTGAATTTAATTTATTTCCATCTGTAATGTTGCTCTGCCGTCCCAAAGCTTGTTCATTGAAGTGGCAACTTCAATAAATGTCTTTGTAAGCCCTTTCCCCAATACTGTTACATGCCCTGTCATTTCCCCATATCCATTGTTAACCATAGCTAACTTGGCCTCAATAACTTATATCAAAGTTCAGTAACTGTAGTTCAAATTCAGTGAGGCCTCTCGTGGTTTGCTCTTTCACTTTTGGCTTCATTGTGAAGGAAGTAAAAAACTTCAGTCTTTGAAGTGCCATAAATAAAGGGTCAGCTCCACACACTTTATAGACCTTTCGGGGTGCATAAATCTCTCCCCCCTCATTTGCCACCTGTTGAGATGGGTATCTTGCCATTGCTTACAACTAGCTTTTATTTCCATAGCCTTCAATGCATTATCTTTTAAAAGCATGTCTTCCTTTGGAACAGGCTGATGCTCATGCATGTTTATTCAGAAGGAAGTCCTACTGAGTTCTCTGGGATGTCTTAGAAGTGTGTATTTAGAACTGCAAACCCAAATAGTTTTAAATCCAAGTAATTTGACTTAACTGGGTAGAAAACTGAGCACATATTTTCTCAGTAAAATCTAATATTTTTTGAATGCAGCTGTGTAAACTCCTTCCTACTTACTGAGAAAACAAAGAATAATTTAAGAGGTCCAAGTTTAATATTTTGAAGATGCCCTGGTAATAATAAATGGGCCAAAGGATAGCATTTCATCACAAAGGACATCAAAGCCTTTGTTACAGTAATCTGAAGCGAAGCTATCAAGAGGACCACCTAGGATGTGTAGCCTGGCATCTCCTGGGCATCTCCTTCTCATAAGGAGACAGGTAAGGCTTCCTGGAAACCAGGTATTATGAGGAACAGTTGGCAGAGCTCGGTGTGTTTTAGCTTGGAGGAGAATGGGAGATGCAATGCCTGTCTTCTAACATCTAAAGGGTGGTCATGTAGTTGGAGCAGACTTATTCTTGCTTGTCTCAGAGGACCAAATTAGACCCAATGAGTGGGAAATGCAAGGAAGCAAATATAGGCAAAGCATTAGTTCGAGTAAGAGCTGTTCAAAACCTGTAAGGAAGCAGATCTTATATTATCACTAGGAATCTGACATTTGAATCTAATAATCTGTCATGTGTTCAGTGCTTTACATGCAGTATCTAGCTGCGATCCTTAAAACAATCCTGTAAGTCAGTATTACTATGCCCATAGTTCAGAGGCAGAGAGATACTGACTTGCCCAAGAGCACCTACTGAATTTGTGGCAGAGGCAAGGTTTGAGCGGAGGACGCCCTGATCCATAGCTCAGCCTCACTGCCACCATGCTAAACCTGCTCCTATCAGATTGGAAGGGCACCCAAGTGCCTCCCACATGCAGTGCAGAGGCATTTTTAATAACTGTTTTGAATGCACTAATAACAGGGATCACCAGCCATTATGATGTTGAAAGCATTCCACCCTTGATGTAGCCGGACTGGCAAGAAATGTCCCAGTGACCACATCTGGACTGATCTTGTCGCCAGTTGGCCCTGCTTCATGGACCTTCTTCATGACCCAATTGCATGTGAAATGTGCAATGTAAGGGAAAGTCTTTTCACTCAATGATAAGCGAGCTTGCAGAACAAGTATGGTCATAGTACGTGACTTGTTGCTGGGATTTGTGGACCTCTTATCTTGCCTTGTTTGTGCTCAGCTGTTACTCCCTAGGTTTCTAAACTGCAGGGAAGGGCCACCTGGGGAGTAAGAGGGATGGGTGCAAGGAGATTATTAGTGCCAGGATTTGGGGGTAACCTGCCATGGCAAGATGGATAGGTATTGCCCTCTCTCCATACTCCCCCAGGAGCAGGAGACCATGTTTGCAAGCAATGGGTTGAGGAAGAAGCTTCTTGGCTATCTTAGAGATTCCTGCATTTGCAGGGGGTTGGACTAGATGAGCCTTGGAGTCCCTTCCAACTCTACAATTCTATGATGTAGGCCTGGGTGATATATCCAGATATGTGGGGGCAGACCGCAATGACAGCCTCACTCAGCAGTGTATCGCTGGTGAAACCATCACCAATCTTGACAAGCAGAGCCAGGCCAGGGAGCCCCATGTCTCCTGCGTGCAAGTGGCAGAGGACTCAGGGCTGGATTCGCTGGCCAGCGGCGCCTGGCCAAGGGGCCTTGGGGCTCGCTCAACTGGGGGCAGGAGCAGGCCCAGACAGGCATATGGGCCACTTGGCCTGGGCCTCCGATTCCAAAGGGGGCCTCGGTCAGCATGCATTCCCTATGTATTTTTTTTTTTAAAGCACTATTGTATATCTATATTTTCCATTTTGTCTTTATATGCAGATACGGTTCAAGCCTTGAAATAAAATTATTTGTCAGCATAACTTTTGTGAAAATTATTTATATACTTACTTATTTATAAGACTTCAGTTATCCCCAGGGTAAAAAAAAGGGGGGGCACATTATCTACCTGGCCCGGGCCTGTGCCTGGCTCTGCAAGGCCCTGGGCAGGAGCCTTTCTGCCTGCCCCCCGGCTGAGAAGCAGGCTGGAGCCAGCTGTATTGGCCACAGCCAGTGAGGCACTGGGGTAAAAATGCCTCAACTCGCAATATGAGAGCTGTGGCAATTTCACTCGGCATCTGGCCAGCTGGGGCCCATGCAGCTTTTTTCAACAATATGGTATATCCAGGAACACGTCCAAGCTACTGACCTGTTGTTTCAGGGGTGTTCACTCTCACTGAGAACAGTCTGTCTCTGTACCTTCTAGACTTGAGAACTCAGAGCACATTATACCTCTGTCCTCCAAGGATAAAGATTCAATTTATTGGTCAACAACCAGCCCTTCACCACTTCTAAGCACTGGTCCAGCACATGAATTGCCTCTCCCAATTAAGATAGAACGGGGGGGGGGGTACAATTTACACATAGGTGACACTTCATTCCAGCTTTCCTGATGAGAGCTCCTAGTGGTTTCAGAGGCATGTTAAATAGCACGGACGACGACAACACACATAGCAGACAGGTATTTAATTGATTGCCATTTCTACAAATGGATTCAAGTGCAGTGTCTACACTTCAAATGTCTACCATATTAACCATTGTGGCTTCTCTAAAGGAAACCTTGGAATTGTAGTGAAAGGCCTGGGACTTTTGTTTAATTTGATTTTTATTGTACTTCATGTGCATCCCTTTTCCTGAAATAATTTACAGGTTCCTAGGGCAGAAACCATGACTGTTGTACTGGTTCAGATTTAGGGTTCATCCACACTTCTTTTTGTCCCGTGTCTAGAAAGCATGGGTCTGAATGGTTTTGCCTTTGCTCCACCACTTTGCCCCAATTTAGCACTAAACAATGCACAGAAAACCCAATTGCCATTTGTGTCAATTCAGTGCTAAACCACAGGTTCCACCGGGGAGAAAGTGGCAGAGCAAACAGAGGTGTGGATAAGCCCTCAGTTTAAATTTGTACTTAACATAATGGAATAACCACCCTGTTATAATGATGTTAAGAGTGCATAATTTCTGTGCTCCAACTCCAGCATTGTAATTAGACCAGCCTTTCCTAATCTGGTGCCTTCCAGATGTTTTCAACTATAAATCCCATCATTCCTGACCATTAGTCATGTTTCCTGGGGCTGTAATCCAGCAGTATTTGCTGGATGTCAATACCAAGCTTTTAGCTACTGTGGATACTGTATGTTTTATGCCTTTAATGCACTGACTTCTATGTAAGTTGAATTACACTGTCTGTAAAGCACCCTGGAGGTTTTAATGAAGGGAGATATTTTTAAAAAGGTCTTAAATAAAACAGGTTCATTTGTTTTCATCAATGCACTTTGCTTTGTTTGTTTTGTTCTGAACGGTTTTTGGTTGCCACTATTTAACTCTAGCATTGCTGATCACTTTGTTTGGCACTGCATGCATGCTCAGTTCTCAGTCCAATTGGGAGCTGTGCAGACCTGGTTTCTGGTGCAGCAGTGGATGTACACCCCCCACCTTAATATGACAAGATATTGTGCGACTGGCAGCAGATCAGGACAACTGTGAGCACTGTGCTAAGGATAAAACACATTTTGATAGAGCCGAATGCCCTTGGGATTATGTTAACCAACCTTTATAATGTACATTTTATCTTGAGGAGAAGGTTTTGTTGCAATAGGTAAATGCCAAGTGGATTTACAGCAAGACGGCCTAGCACAGTCATGTCTTATATTTTGCGGTCTAAATATGCCTCTTGATTTTGAAGTCAATGGACTAATATTAGCACTCTGCTAGGAGCTATTTCACAGAACAAAGCATCAAAAAGGGAAGTTAGTGTGACTTGTAGTCCCTCTTGTCATGTGACAGTCATTGTGTGCACTTTGTAAAGAGTAATATGTTGCTGAACCAAAAGCCTGAAGGACACCAGCAACCCACGCAGAACCCTCAAGACAACGGAAGGGCGCAGTTAATAAGATTCATCAGTGCAATTTACCAGAGTGCTGTAGCCTTGCTCTGAGGCACTGTGGATAACTGCACTAATGGTTGATTATATTTACTGGAGTACCAGAAAAGGGGTCCAGGGCGGTTAGCAGTGGTGGACTATCAGCAGCTGTCTGAGGGATGGTGCCCTGCTGTCACCATATGAGATGCTGCTGCATATTATTCCTCCCACCAGAGGAGGTGCTCTTGAGATCAAGGAATCAGGGAGGCAGCCCTAGGGGAAAGTGTTGTAATGATGGACAGTGTCAATTGCTTATACTACTTGGGCAAATAAATATGTGGGCAAATAAATATGTGGGTCATAGCAAACAAAACATGTTGTTCTCAGTATCGTAATTGCCTTAGAATAATTGGGTCATGGAAGTGCCTAGAGGAGAATTAATCCTGAATAGTTCCCTAGCCCTGGATAAAGATATGAGGGTTGTTGAACCAAACAAGAATGATCACAGTGCTATTGAATTCAATGTACACACAAGAGGAATTTTTTCCAAGAAAGTGCAATACAGTGGTACCTCAGGTTACATACGCTTCAGGTTACAGACTCTGCTAACCCAGAAATAGTGCTTCAGGTTAAGAACTTTGCTTCAGGATGAGAACAGAAATCGTGCTCCGGCGGGGCGGCGGCAGCAGCAGGCCCCATTAGCTAAAGTGGTGCTTCAGGTTAAGAACAGTTTCAGGTTAAGTATGGACCTCCGGAACGAATTAAGTACTTAACCCGAGGTACCACTGGGAAAGGAGTACAGCAAGGCTGTATATTGTCCCCCTGCTTATTTAACTTATATGCAGAATTCATCATGCGAAAGGCTGGGCTGGATGAATCCCAAGCCGGAATTAAGATCGCCGGAAGAAATATCAACAACCTCAGATATGCAGATGACACAACCTTGATGGCAGAAAGTGAGGAAGAATTAAAGAACCTTTTAATGAGGGTGAAAGAGGAGAGTGCAAAATATGGTCTGAAGCTCAACATCAAAAAAATGAAGATCATGGCCACTGGTCCCATCACCTCCTGGCAAATAGAAGGGGAAGAAATGGAGGCAGTGAGAGATTTTACTTTCTTGGGCTCCATGATCACTGCAGATGGTGACAGCAGTCATGAAATTAAAAGACATCTGCTCCTTGGGAGAAAGGCGATGGCAAACCTAGATAGCATCTTAAAAAGTAGAGACATCACCTTACCAACAAAGGTCCATATAGTTAAAGCCATGGTTTTCGCAGTAGTGATGTATGGAAGTGAGAGCTGGACCATAAAGAAGGCTGATCGCCGAAGAATTGATGCTTTTGAATTATGGTGCTGGAGGAGACTCTTGAGAGTCCCATGGACTGCAAGAAGATCAAACCTATCCATTCTTAAGGAAATCAGGCCTGAGTGCTCACTGGAAGGACAGATCGTGAAGCTGAGGCTCCAATACTTTGGCCACCTCATGAGAAGAGAAGACTCCCTGGAAAAGACCCTGATGCTGGGAAAGATGGAGGGCACAAGGAGAAGGGGACGACAGAAGACGAGATGGTTGGACAGTGTTCTCGAAGCTACAAACATGAGTCTGACCAAACTGCGGGAGGCAGTGGAAGACAGGAGTGCCTGGCGTGCTCTGGTCCATGGGGTCACGAAGAGTCGGACACGACTAAACGACTAAACAACAACCACTGTATTACTGATTTCAAAACAGGAAACTTCTCAATAATACAAGGAGCTGAAAATGGGAGTCAACAGGCTGAAATCTCTCAAAGAAGTTTGGAGCATTGGGTTTGTTTGTTTTAAAACAGATTAATAAAAGTTTGGCTAGAATATCACAACTCAGGAAAGGTACCAATATGATACCATAGTAGTTAACGAGAAGAGTCATGGAAGCTATAAAAGGCAAGGAGTTTCCTTTAAAAACATCAAAGCCTTGCCCAAATGAGGTCTACACACACACACACACCATACATTTAAAGCACATTTAAAGCACATAGCTTTCTCCCAGAGAATCATGGGAAGTTTAATTTATGTAGGGTGCTGAGAATTGTAGCTCTGTGAGGGGTAAACTAAGTGTGACGGGAAGTACATAGAGACAAAACCCATGAACTTCACATATACTGATTAGTTTGCTAGCAATGGTGGTGATTTCCTAGAAAAGAAGTCTTGGAAGTTGTGATGGATTGCTCAAAGGAAATGTCAGTTCAGAGTATAGCAGTTAGGAAGAAGGCAATTCCGTGCTGTGGATCATTAGGAAGTTTATCCTAGTGCTTATTTGAAATATGCTTCCTTGCAATTTCCAGCCATTGGTTCTTATCTTGCCCTGGAGCAATGGAGAGCAGGCCTTCCATCTTCCATATGACATTCCTTCAGACATTTGAAGATCACTACCATGTCCATCCAGGACGCGGGTGGCGCTGTGGGTTAAACCACAGAGCCTAGGACTTGCTGATCAGAAGGTCAGCGGTTTGAATCCCTGCGACAGGGTGAGCTCCCGTTCCTCGATCCCTGCTCCTGCCAACCTAGCAGTTCGAAAGCACGTCAAAGTGCAAGTAGATAAATAGGTACCACTCCGGCGGGAAGGTAAATGGCGTTTCCATGCACTGCTCTGGTTTCACCAGAAGCGGCTTAATCATGCCGGCCACATGACCACTGTATGGCGGCTCCCTCAGCCAATAAAGCGAGATGAGCACAGCAGCCCCAGAGTTGGTCATGACTGGATCTAATGGTCAGGGGTCCCTTTACCTTTACCTTTTTACCATGTCCATCCACAACATTTTCTTCTCCAAGCTAAGAATACCTAGCTCTGTCCGTTTTCCTCACTGGGCTGCTGATTACATTTACAGTGAATCAAAAGTAGCTGTCGCAAGAATACCTTGTTTCTAATATTTTTGCCAGTTGAAACACAGTGTGGCTGTAAAGGAGTGATGCAATCTGTGAGATGAATGGTTGCCACATATAGCCAAGGCCTTTTCTTTCTGAATAGCTGCCTTGGTCCAGTCAAGTGAAGATGATTGCACATCCAGAAGATTCTGAAGAAGCCTGACTAATTTCCATTGAGTCATTAGGGCAGGGCAAGGAACAAAGCTCTGATGCAAGTTTATTGTAGCTTTGAACAGTGCAATTCCCCCTCTCCCCTTTTAGCGTCTTTTAAAGAAAACATTCCCAGTTGCCTTTTATCACATTAGCAAACTACTTTCTGTGACTACAGGTGGAACTGTAGGTGACAATAGCAGTTCAAGAGAAAAGCAAGAGTGATCCCTAATCTGGAGTTTATTGCACTTTGTAGTGTTTTGTAAATTAACATAAAATACCAGAAAGTTTATGTTCACCTTGTTGTTAAGAGTGACCCAGAAATTACAGGAAAAGCACAACACAAGTGTAGCAGGCACAGGATCCAACCACGAATCTCTAGAACTCTGTGGAATTTTCTCAAAGCAACAATAGTACTTCTTCCTTTTGCATTTTTAATCTCTACTCCCTTTGGAACAATTAGAAGGAACCACATGCCTGTTACTTTACTTCACCAATGGTGGAGCAAGGCAGAGGTGCTTATAAAAACATATAGTTTCAGCAAAACAATCCGATCTGGATTCATAATTGCACAGCAGCTGGCAGCAGCAGATTATGGCCACATTGACACCATACATTTAAAGCCCTATAATACGACCTTCAATGGTAACGGCTTCCCCCAAAGGACTCTGGGAGCTGTAGTTTGTTAAGAGTGCTGAGAATTGTTAGGAGACCCCTATTCTTCTCACAGAGCTTAACAATCAACCCCTCTTCGCAGAAAATTAACTCTCCTAAGAACTTTCAACACCTTTAACAAGATACAACTTCAAGAATTGGGGGGGGGGGGTAGCAATGACTTTAAATGACTTTATCATAGTGCTTTAAATGTATCGTGTGAATGTGGCCTTGATTTAAACAAAGTACTACACACAACTCATAATGATTGTGTGGGATTCACTGCCACAACAAACAGTGACTAATGGAGCTTGTTGTTCAGGAGCAGGAATTGAACAGGGCTGCTGCCTCTATGCCTTGCTGGAATACCCCAACCAGCAGTGGAGAACCTCTAGTTCACAAGCCTCAATAGGCCCAGCCCGTGAGGCTGTTTATTTTATTTTATTATTTTATTTTTATACCACCCTTCATCCAAAGATCTCAGTGCAGTTCACAGCATTAAAAATACAAGATAAAAAAAAAAAACATAATTAAAAACGAGAGCAAGAACAAACAAACCAATAACCCCCCCTCCCCTTGTTGTCTCCAAGCCATGCCTACCTGTATGGCAGGTAAAAACATGGGTCCCTGCTGAAAGCAGGGTTGGCAGGCACCACCGATCAGCTGGTTGGTGGCAGCTGCAAGGTCCTGTGCCTTTGCCCATGTGGGATGTTTGTCAGAATCCCAGACAATTCTTTCACTGTATTTCTCCATCTCATGGTAGTTATTCAATTTCCTGTATGAAAATTCATGGGGCTGCTTCCCATTTTATAGGAAGTCAGTGATGGGCCTAGAGATGGTTTTGGGAGTTTATTCTGATAAGACACTAGCCATCTTGAGCAGCAGCCCATGTGAGAGGTCACATGAGCTGTGTGCTGTCAGCTCTGCACATTTGTGCAAGATCAACACTCCTCATGCTCATGCTCTTTTAGCATGTTTTAAAGGTGAACTGAAAGTTGCTTATTTGGTCTCTGTGTTGTTATTTTGTATCATTCATGACGGTGGGTCCTTAGAGCAGGATAGAGGGTATCCCACTCAGCTGCATTCATACCGTTCCACTCTCCCAAGTTAAGTACTTGTACGCTTCTGACTTAAAACTGCTAAATCACCCTGATAGGGATACTCCCCTAGTAAACAGAAGAACTAACGCTGGATGGGGGAAGTACAGTAAGGAGTGTTTACAGTGAACAAATATCATGCGGATGGCTATAGGCTGAGAATATTGCATAATCAGTACACAGAAAGAGCCCTGCTGGATAAGGGAGCATTCAGATGTGGGGAATATTGTGTTAGTTATTCCTGATAAGGATAGCACTCGTGTCACATTTTCCAACGTTCCTTTCACACTGCAGCACCTACTGTGTTATTAGAATGGTGGCTTTTTGAGCAATGCACCGGCATGTCATGCTAAATTTCATTCATATCAGGAAGTGTGGTGTGACACAGCACTACTTCCCCACCCGTGCTTCTGTTCCCCCATGAAAACTGTGCAAAATAACTGTAGGTCGGTATACAGCCCCAAATTTCATCACTTTACTACCACGATTTTCCATGTTAACGGAGCTGCAAACTGATTTATTTATTTTTAATTAACAAAGAGCATGGAAATCTATCATGCCATCTATTCCAGTAAAAAGTCTGGAAGTGGCTTTTACACTGCGTAAAAGCTCAAATAAAATGCGGAAATTAACAGTTAGGGAAACCTCAGGGAAACAAACCGTCATGTGAATGCAGACCAAGGTCCATCTAGCCTAGTATCCTGCCTCAGACAACGGCCAGTAAGATGGCCTGTGGAGTCCACAGGAAGACCCGAAGGCAATGCCTTTCCTGTTTCCCCCACCCCTGGCAGGCCTAGTTCCATTTCCAACACATTTAAAGTGGTGACTATGGCAACATTTTGCAGCAATGGGTTCCATATATCCATTACAAGACATGAGGGGAAAGCACATCCTTCTCTCTGCTGAGAAAAAAAAGGTCTCCATCTTTTCTTTAATCCAGTGATGGGACAAACTAAAAAGAATAGAATCATAGAATCATAGAGTTGGAAGAGATCACAAGGGCCATCGAGTCCAACCCCCTGCCAAGCAGGAAACACCATCAGAGCACTCCTGACATATGGTTGTCAAGCCTCTGCTTAAAGACCTCCAAAGAAGGAGACTCCACCACACTCCTTGGCAGCAAATTCCACTGTCGAACAGCTCTTACTGTCAGGAAGTTCTTCCTAATGTTTAGGTGGAATCTTCTTTCTTGTAGTTTGGATCCATTGCTCCGTGTCCGCTTCTCTGGAGCAGCAGAAAACAACCTTTCTCCCTCCTCTATGTGACATCCTTTTATATATTTGAACATGGCTATCATATCACCCCTTAACCTCCTCTTCTCCAGGCTAAACATGCCCAGCTCCCTTAGCCGTTCCTCATAAGGCATCGTTTCCAGGCCTTTGACCATTTTGGTTGCCCTCCTCTGGACACGTTCCAGTTTGTCAGTGTCCTTCTTGAACTGTGGTGCCCAGAACTGGACACAGTACTCCAGGTGAGGTCTGACCAGAGCAGAATACAGTGGCACTATTACTTCCCTTGATCTAGATGCTATACTCCTATTGATGCAGCCCAGAATTGCATTGGCTTTTTAGCTGCCGCGTCACACTGTTGGCTCATGTCAAGTTTGTGGTCAACCAAGACTCCTAGATCCTTTTCACATGTACTGCTCTCAAGCCAGGTGTCCCCCATCTTGTATTTGTGCCTCTCATTTTTTTGCCCAAGTGCAATACTTTACATTTCTCCCTGTTAAAATTCATCTTGTTTGTTTTGGCCCAGTTCTCTAATCTGTCAAGGTCGTTTTGAAGTGTGATCCTGTCCTCTGGGGTGTTAGCCACCCCTCCCAGTTTGGTGTCATCTGCAAATTTGATCAGGATGCCCTTGAGTCCATCATCCAAGTCGTTGATAAAGATGTTGAATAAGACTGGGCCCAAGACAGAACCCTGTGGCACCCCACTAGTCACTCTTCTCCAGAATGTCCCTGGATAGTCAAACACATAAGAATAATAGGTGGCTGCATTGGTAATCATGAGACAAACTCCCAAAGGTTGCAGTAGGGCAGCAGTAAAGGTAAAGGACCCCTGGACAGTTAAGTCTAGTCAAAGGCAACTATGAGGTTGCGGTGCTCATCTAACTCTCAGAGCGAGAAAGCCTGTGTTTGTCCAAAGACAGCTTTTCGCGTCAAGTGGCTACCATGACTAAACCACTTCTGGTGCAACGGAACACCGTGATGGAAACCAGAGCGCATGGAAATGCCGTTTACCTTCCCGCTGCAGCAGTACCTATTTATCTACTTGCACTGGCGTGCTTTCGAACTGCTAGGTTGGCAGGAGCTGGCACAGTGCAATGGGAGCTCACTCCGTCGTGGGGATTCGAACCACCAACCTTCCAATCGGCAAACCCAAGAGGCTCAGTGGTTTAGACCACAGTGCCATCAGTGTCCCTGGGGCAGCAGTATCAGGACCAAAATGGACTAACAATGTCACATTGTCAGGGTGGTGTAGTGGTTAGAATGCTGGACGGGGGAACCTGGGAGGGGAGCCCAGGGTTCAAATCCCCACAGCAGCTTACCTGAGTAGCCTTGGGCCATCGCTCAGCCTGACCTACTTTACAGGGTTGTTGCAAGGCCAAAACGAGGAGACGGGGAACCCTAAAGTTCAGCTTGAGCTGCTTGGAGGACAAGTGGGATGCAAATGCAACAGTCAAGGACCAGGAAGGAGTTGAGGCAACGCCGGCGTGGGCGTTCAAGGCGGTCCTGAGGGAATTGCTGGACTGAGGAGACTTGCCTTGCCCGCCCCCGCCGACACGGGCCCCGGCCCCCCTGCAGTTGCCCAGAGCGGGAAAGGCGCTCCATGCCCGGCCCCTGCGCACAATGCTCCTCCACCTGAGGGGACCCTCCTAAGGAGAGGCGTCACCCCACTGTGGCTTTGGGGGTGGCGACTCCTTCAGGGCGCTTTGCTGCCTATTTGCGAGCAGTCTTGGCGCGCGGGGGTTTCTGCTTCTGGCGCGCGCCATCCGGGCACAACGCTGTGCAGCGAGACGAGGGTGAAAGAAACGCAGGTAGACGCGTCCGGCGTCCCGGCTTTCCCGCCGCGAGGGCCTTGCTCCGCAGCGCGAGGGCTGAAGCCCAGGACCCTCCGCCTCGCGCCCTTGGGCCGCGCAGCCCAATCATTCGGCGAGGAGCTGGAGCGCATCGCCGGCAGCGTCCTCGCGGTTGGGAGCCGGCACCCGTGACGTCAGCCCTCCCGATTGGTCCCCTGGCAGCAGCACATGCTCAGGACATCTATATAAAGACGTCCCCGGCCTCCCCCCTCCCCTGCAGCTGCTCTTCCCAAAGCCTCTCTCTCTTGGTCGTCAGCCGGGACAGCTCCATCCAAACGCAGCGCAATGGCGAACCCAGAGGCTTTCTTGGGCAGGTGGCGCTTGGTCTCCAGCGACGGCTTTGACGAGTATATGAAGCAGTTGGGTAAGGAGCAGGGAATGGATGGGGAGAACGGGCGGGGGGGGGGGGAGTAAGAATTTAAGGGGATACCATTTAAAATGATGAGGATATTTTATGACAACAGAGAAGCAGAACTAGAGATTCCCTCCTTTCATTGGGCAAAACTTGGGGGAAAAGAAAGGGGGCGGAAGGGCAGATAGTAGGATTGAAAAGTAAGCCAATCCATAAATGAGTTGGGCAAATCCTATCACAAGAACAGTAGTGCTAGTAGTGTGTGCATTTTTTATTTTTGCATCCAATTTGCCGACTGCAACCTAGCTATTTACATGGACGTAGCCTTTCTGGATGCAATGACTTTGTGCATCTGTAATAAAATAAATGTAGCATTGCAGCCTGAAGCTTAAAAAAAAAAAACACCCCCAAAAGCACTGCTTAAATAGTGGCATTGTCTTTAAAATGGCTGCTTTGGATTAAGTGACTTACTTAAAAGTTCTTCTCTATGATTTGTGTAAGGGAAGCAGTGTCTGCGCGATGCACATTTTGTGCACTGCAATTCTTTGGGTTTTGTGAATTGTCACGCCTTTCTCGTATTCTGTCATACTGGAGTAGACACAGTCCTATTTCTTCCTACTTTGTGCACATGTGGTGTGTCTGGCTTGATTAGGAGTGGAGGATTATGAAGAGGGAACAGGAATTAATTAATTTTTCCTTTCCTGGAAGCGCATATCTGTCTCTCCTGTGGGGAGCTGGGATCAGGAGCTTTTGTGTGTCTCATTTTCTCAGCTCCTGAGAGGCTGGATGCTCTGTCCAAGGTCTGTGGAGGCATTCTCAGGCTTTAGTAACAGGCACACAAATACAAATGGATATTGTTTCAAACATGATATTGAGCTGCAGTGTGTGTGTGTGTGTGTGCGCGTGCACATATACCAAACCATCTGCTTAAAACAACATATGAAAAACTTGGAGTGGGGTGGAGGGACAGAAGAATGGCTGGGGGCGATGGGAAGGAGAGGGAGATCTCTCATATAAGCAGAATGGCACTTTCCCAGGGATTTCACCTGAGTCAGAAAGGAGGGCAGATGGCAGAAACCTTCAGAACTCCTGTAACACAGCTTACACTTCCTATTACAATTCATTTGGACACCTCTGGTGCAAGAAGAAACCATACAGTGGGGATGAATGCTCATTATAACAGAATATGATGCTCTTAATGAAATTTAATTTGATTTTCTTTTTTTAGACAAGCCGGTCATTCTTGCAATTATATAGTATTGTTTTTATGATATTTAATGTTGTGCGCTGCCTTGATCTTTTATGTGAAATCTAAATGTTTGGCTTTGGTTGTCTCACTGAACGGACTGGAAAAAATGCCAGGATGAGCAAACTTCCTGTGACCGTGCACAGGAGGATAAAAGGTACCACAGTGATCTCATATTCAGTATTATTATTTTACCAGACAAATTGAACGGAACACTAACCTAATTAGGGGTGAATAGTTTGGGGCTGCATTGATAGATCTGCCAAGTTACAGTGTATTTAAAGGCTCCAGCTGAGGCTGAAACTGGAAAGAATAACAGATATCTGAATTAACATCCGGCTGTTATGTTAGAACCTTTCTTCTTTCTATCCTTGTGGATTAATTTCACTAAAATGCAATCCAAGTCCACAGATGACTCTTGAATAGGGCTGTGCATATTCTGTTCTAAACTTGGTGTTAGTATCCAAGCTTTTGCAGAACAAGCAGAATCCTGTGATCCATTTAAATGATGCAGATAAAACACAACTTACTTGTATTTACACATTGTATGTAAAAAAAATATTCAGCTTCTGATCTTCCTGGGTAGTGGCAAAGAGTTATGAACAGTGCTTAAATCCCATTCCTAACCTGTATGGCACCCCATATCTATTTTTGCATCCTTAAGGACTAGATCCTTGCTTTTTGAAGATGTAAATGTAATTGCACAAGAAAGAATAGGGGAAATGTATCACAGGGGCATGCTATGGCTTGTTTGGGGAATTGTTAAGCACGGGTGTGTTGCATTTCGCTTGTGGGGCTGCATTTGGCCTGAACTGCAGGCCTGAACTAGCCCCACAGTTGACACACTCGTTATTTCACACATGGGGTTAACTAAGTTCTTGTGCCCAGTGAATGGAGAAAATCATGGTGTTAGTCCATTATATACTCTAGCTGGCATGGGGCTGTTATGCACTACATTGAATCTAAAGAGTATTCCAAATGTTTTGGTCTTTCAGTGTCAACCCAGAAGATAGAGACTCCCCCTTCAATATACTAGTAGTGTCTGGGAGAGAGAGAGTATGTGTGCGTGGATTTGCTGCACCTCTTGATTTCTCATTGCCCATTTACTCGGTTCATGAAGGTTTGCTGACTGTTGAAAAGCATTGTGCTTCGAGTTACCATACAACCTTTCTGTGATGTTATCAATGAAGGTTGCATCCATCAAGTGGTGAATAAGCATGTGTAAAGCAGCCTTTATAGTCTTTGCAGTAAAGGCTTAAGGATTACAGTACTGGTGCAGGAAACCTTTTATTTCTCTGTTCTGGGCTCAGTTCAGCTAATGGTTCCTGCTAGTAGAAGCTCAATGCAATAACTTCCACTAGTGCAATGCAGTTCACTCCCCTCTTGTGGTCTCCCAGTTTGGCTCAGGAGAGTCAGAAAAAACCCCAGAATGGTGTGTGGCAAGAGGAGAGGGGGATTGTTTCATGTGGTGAGCTGAAATACTTGTGGCAATGAAACAATTGCCATGACACTACAATGAATTATCCCACTTAAAAATATATGTATAGCCTAGTCCCCATTCCAGAAACAGAACATGAATTGAGTCTTAAAATGCACAACAATAATCTAGATGAGGTCCAAGTCTATCTCCAGAGAATGGAAATGTGAGCTCTGCAGTTTGGCTATCCACTCATTAAGAGAATACAAGCTTCTCCTTAATGATCATATGTCCTGCAAACTGTTATTGCTGCTGTTGTTATATTCCTGGTGATTTCAGTAGTTAGGCTAAAGCAGTGAGGGAGAAGCTGGGCTCCGTCAGATATTGCATTGCAGGGGGTGGACTAGATTAACCTTAGGGTCCCTTCCAACTCAACAGTTCTGTGATTCTATATTTCCAGACTGCAACTCCATCATCCCTAACCATTGGTCATGCTGGCTGGGGCTGATGGAAGCTGAAGTCCAATGACATCTGGAAGGTCACACTTTCCACCCCAGTGGCCTACATGAATGACTGTATTTGTAAACATAGTGTTCTGGGTTGTTGTTGTTTACTTCTCTCCAGAAAGTCTCAGATAGATAGCACTGGAGGAGGAGCAAGGCGAGAGTTGTGACATGACACAATTTATTTCTAATTTTTCTGCAGAGCAATGGGTACTTTTTTGCCTGATTTCATTGATTTCCCTTTCTAAATGCCAATGTGATATAATTTAATTATTTGTATCCGGGGCAGAAGTCATTTGGTAATATGCTGAAGTCTTACAAAAAGACCTGTTACTCCTGTAAGGCAGAACGAAAGTGGAGTAGTTATAATAAGCTTCTGATTAACCTGAGATGCTTCAACACTTCAGCTGAGTCACTGGAGTTCTCCTTCCCCACGCTGGGTAATTTAAACAGTTAGGTAATCTTTTGTGTGCATGTGTGTATGTGTGTTATTGCGTAATGACTCTGCTTGGCTGAACCAATCTGACAGGTCCCTTGCCTTTCTCTTTTCTGCAGGTGTGGGCATGGCCATGAGGAAGATGGGGAGCATGGCAAAGCCAGACGTTATCATCACTAAAGATGGAGACACATTCCATGTGAAAACAGAAAGCACATTCAAAACATCAGAATTCAGTTTCAAATTGGGCGAGAAGTTCAATGAGGAGACGCTAGATGGCCGAAAAACTCAGGTAAATGAAGCGATCGTCCAGAGAGGGCATGTACTGAACAGTCACATGTTCACACTGCTCACAAGTACAACCCGTCTCTTCACATGTGCACATTTATGTGTGAAAGCGTGTGTGTTTGTTGATTTGTACAGCTCGGCCGTTGGGTACACAGGTCACATAGTGTACTTTGTTGAACATTCACAGTCACTAACTGTACACGTGTGTAGCCACACACATTGGACCCGTGTTGAATATAGCATGTGAACATCCCTACAGGAAGAAGCTGATGCAACTCCCTGAACTCTTCTGATTTCTGTTAGGTGAACAAGTTACTCCCATCAATGCGTGTTGTAACACTGAATGATACCAATCACTGTGGTTCAAGTGGTGCACAGTTGCATCACTGCTGAGGTAAATTTCCTCATGAATCAGCATGGTATTGCGTTTGGTTTGTCAGTCATTGCCTTTGGTTCCCGTAGTGCTGTTTGGGAATTTTTTGCTTCTGTTGTAGATTAGCCACCGTTAATGATGCAAACTCATCTTGGGGGAATGCTGGAAGTGTGTGAGCTTTCTGTGGTTATTTGCCTTCTCTTCCTTTTTTCTTTTGTGTACCTCGCCCTTCAAACCTGTTCTCAGAGCAACTTACAAAGCTTCAAGATAAAGCAAAAAAATCCAGCCGCAAACATAAAGTAGCAATTTGAAAATAATAACCAAACTAACAGTAGTTTCCTGTACATGTCTGCCCAAATGTAGGCCCCGCTGGGCTTACTCCCAGGTAAGTAGATACAGGATTGGAACCTTACCTTTGAAAATCAAAAAAGTATTTGATACCTAAAATGGCATCAAGCTAGGTGAGCCTGGCATCAAGCCTCCCCGTGAAGGGATGTGCAGCGTAGTGGTTAGAGTGTCAGACCAGACCTGGAAGTCTAGAGTTCCCGCTTAGCAATGAAGAGGATCACTGGGTGACCTTGGGCCAGTCACTGCCTAACCTACCTCACAGGGCTCTTGTGGGGATTAAAATTTGGGGAGAACTATGTGCACCACATTGAGTTCATTGGAGGTGGAATATAAGTGCAATGAATAAATAAACAGTTCCAGAGTCAGGATGCCACAACTGAGAAGGCCTTTCTGTGGTAAGAGGGATAACTGCCAAATGGCAAAGGCAGGTCTGTGCTGCAGAACTTAACTATAGGCAGGCACATCTGGACACAGGCAGGTAGGGTAGTCCTAAACCATGGAAGGGCTTTCAGGGTCAAAATTAGCCCCTTTGGATTCAGCCCAGATATGGCCCGGAAGCCACTGCAGCTGGCAAAACACTGCTGTGATGTGGTAATTCATATCTCCACATCCCAGCCAGTACATGGAACTGAGCACCACAGGCAGGTAAAGAGCCCCACAAAGACAACAAGAGAGTGAAAGCTAGATCAACACACTTAACAAAACCCTAAACTGTGGCAAATCTTAATTACAGTTGGATGAACCAAGCCATCTTCATAAACTATGTTTTGAAGATGGATTGTTTCAGCTAACCTATAGCTAAGATTAACTGCAGCTTAATTGTGTTTGGATGATATGCTAAACAGTGGTTAATATCAAATAAAAGCAATTAAACAATCTATGGCCTTTCAAGCTGGGGGGGGGGGCGTGTTTCTCAGCTGAAGTAGTACAATCCCTACTAAAATGTCAAAGCAAGCTGGATTTGTTCCCTAATGGATGCAAATGGCTACCTGCAACTTTTTACTGTTCTTAGTGCAGCTCCTTTTTTAATTTTGGGAAATCCATGCAATCTTAATGATGGTCCCATTTTGTAAATTCTGGTAGCAAAAGAACGTGTTGCAATGGAATAGTGGGATTTGATTCATATCTGCACACCTCAGAGCAGTCAGGTCAAAAGCCCTGCCTGAATGATTCATTGGCTTTTTCTTGGGAGTGTCATGTCTGTGGTTAAGGCTAAGGAGCTCTCCCTTTTGGATGCTTGCCAGCTGATGATCCCTTCAGTAGGCTTCTTCACCAAACAGGTACAACAAGTTCCTGGAGCTCTTTTCATGGCCATTTGCGTTAAGGTGTCACGTTGTGTGATTTCTGACAAGCATATTGCTTCTGCAGGTACTGGAGCATGGGAATTCCCCTCAGATTACAGTAACAGGAGCATAATCTTATGCAAATAACCTATAAGAATAATGGCGATTTTCCAGGACCTTTCCTTAATCTCCAATTGCAATACTACAATTACAGTATCGTCTCCCAAACTGGTTCTGCACATCCCTTTGTGAAAGTGCTACGTGAAAGGGGATTCCAGGAGACAGTCTTAATTGCATGTTGCACCCTACAAAGCTTTTTCCATATGCTAACCATCACACAGCCCATTCTGTTACAGTGGTACCTCGGTTCTCAAATGAAATCCATTCCAGAAGCCCATTCGGCTTCCAAAACATTAAAAAACCAAGCGGGGGCGGGGGGTTCCATTGGTTGCAAGAGCTTCTTGCACTCAGCGGAAGCCATGCCGCATGTTTGGGTTCCGAAAAACCTTAGAAAACAGAAGCATTTACTTCTGGGTTTTCGGCGTTCGGGAACCGAGGTTCCACTGTACTGCTTATTTAAAGCAAGAGAAAAGGGGGCAAAAATATTCCTCTCCCAGACCCACGGGACATTGAGAGCATAAATAGTGTGATGCTCTGAGGGGTCTTTTTCATAAGGCAAAGTAAGGAATGTGTCAAATTTGGGGGTTCTTAAGGGTGGCAGAGTAGGAGGCACCAACTTCATTCACACATCATGGTAAACCAAACTTTTCCTTACTGGGAGTGCATGAATGTGCACAGCATCCAGACAGGACCTTGTGTAGCCACTTTGCTCCTTCCCAGTTTTTCTTCCTTCTTCACTACACTAAGCCAAAGTTCCTCTTAGTATGTTGTCTGAACCCAGGCTTATGGTTAAGCTTTCTCCTTGCTAACCACGGTTTAGTGTAGGAGTAACAGAGACTGCCAAGGAGCATAGTGGCTGTTAGTTCCTTTCTGGGAGCCAGCACATTCACATGGTGTTGCTAAGCCATGGTTAGAAGTTGTGCAAGCATTTCATTTAACATGTCTGTCAGGCGTCATTTTCATTTTCTGTCTGGAGGACAAAACTAGGCGTGTCCTGATCCTTCTTGGCAGTATCAAACTTCAGACAAAGATTTACAGAGAAAAGTACATGACAACATAGAGAATCCACGTTTCATTCTTTATCTTCTACAGACTCTTTGGCATACTAAGAGTCTAAAAGTTACTGCTTTTTAATTGTCTGCACAATTAGAATTTGGGCAAATGCCTGTGTTTCTGATAGCTGTTTATTGTTCTTGCCTTCATGGGAGAAATAACTGGTCAGCCATTGGGGTAGGGGTTTCTTGGATGAAGGCAGCGCTTCAGCTTTCTGGAGAATTTGTGTTGAGGAATTTGGAGTGGGTGGGGATCTGGAGGGTGGACATATTGTTAAAAAAAAGATACATAAAGTGGGAGAGCTCTAGGGTTCCTGGACATGCTTAATTTGGCATGTGTATATATAATATTTGAATTCTGTCTCCTTTGTTTTGGTAAGACACTTTCCACACCCAGTTATAAATCTGGCAAAGCAGGAGCATGATAATTCCCCCTTTGGTGCATAGGCATATGCTGAACATAATCAGACTATCAGACTATCCATGTATTGGCATGCCCTCTGCAAAATATCTTATCACTCAGACAAAATGGTAATCTCTGTTCGCCTTCTTTAATTAAAGGGGCAAGTACTGTATTTTTTGCACCATAACACTCACTTTTTTCCTCCTAGAAAGTAAGGGGAAATGTCTGTGCGTGTTATGGAGGGAATGCCTATAGGTGGTATGCCTACGGATTTTCCTCCTCTAAAAACTACGTGCGTGTAATGGTCGGGTGCATGTTATAGAGCGAAAAATACGGTACTTCTCTGGTAGCATTTGCATGAGTTTACTCCTTAGGACAAAACTAGACATAGCACCCTTTACACAATTGCTAATTTCATTAATGACATTTTTTTAAAAAAAAGTTTGCATGAGGGCCTGATTCCAGATTGGGACTCTGGCAGAGGAACGCTTCAGGCCTTGCTGTGAACCTAATCTGGATTGGTATCCTGCACCTGCTGGCACTGGGAGAGGGCAAGCACCCATTGGAAAGAACTGTAGCTAAGGTGAAAGACTTTAACGCCTCCCTCCCTGGTTCCCAATCAGGAGTTCTCTCTTCCCTCCCTGTGCTTTCATTTGCTTTTGAAAAGCTACTCATGCAGTTCTAATTAAAAATATTCTAATTTCATGAATGCATCAAATCTAGTTTGGCCCTTAGTTATGCACACCAATGCAAGATCAGAAGCACACTAACTATTACTGCACTCTCTTGGGACAGAGCAGTTTTGGAATAAATTCACTAAGACGCTAAGTACCAGATTTCTGTATTCTTTTTCAGACCCTTATCACCTTAGATGATAATAATGTATTGACCCAGCACCAGGAGTGGGATGGCAAAGAAACAACGATAACCAGAAAGATAGTAGATGGGAAACTCATTGTGGTAAGTGGAATTTTCCCCTGGATTCCTAGCCAAAATTGTACACAATAGCTGGAATGCAACATAATTCAGGCATACTAAGTATCTAGCTACATTGCTCTATTCCCTAGTGATCTGGAGAGAGAGACTGATGAATGAACGTTCTTTGTTTTGCAGGAATGTGTCATGAATAGTGCCAAATGTACTCGCGTCTACCAGAAAGCATGAAGATGCTGGCTTCTATTTTGGATGCGGAGCTTTATGATGGACAGCTTAGTTCAAGGAACAAAGCTGATCTACACTCCATATTTCTCATCTGTATTCCTTCTCCCTGCCCCCCCGGTTTTTTTTAAGCATCTTGGAAGAATCTGTACTGTACACAATTAAATTTCAAGTCCTTGATGTAACTACTGAGAGCTATTAAATTTAAAAATTTCATGAGTTTTTATTTTCAAATATTTTTAATCCACTTTGCTATTAAGAAATAAATAAATAAATATCAAACATAAAACATAGTTCAAAAACATTTCAGAAAAGAGCAAATATCAGAAGATCAAGAAATATAGGATGGTAGAATCTAGTGCTGGCGATCAGCAAACATCTGGATATAGAGGCGTGTTTTCAGTAATGTTTTGGAAGCATGCTACTGTTGATTCTTTTGAATAATGGCATCCCAGAGAGTAGGTGCCACCACAGTGAAGTAGGATATAGTAGGAATATTGCAACTGTATTGTAATTTTTAGAATTCTCCTCAGATGAAGAAATTCTGGAAACTCTAGTTAGATTAGCTGTGAGAAGAAGTGATTAGTTACTAGTTAAGGTGTATTCTGTCTAGGCACATTTATAGCATGGTTTCTTTGAACTCGGTGCAACTTCTATGATACTTATGTCTTAGCAAGTATGTTTACACATGCAGTCTTAAAGAAAAATAGCATGGCACTGGAAGACCAGAGATGGGGAGCCTACAATCCTTCAGATGTTGGGATACAACTTCCATAATCCCTGACCATTGGTTGGGTTAGCTGAGCCAATGGGAGTTGCAGTCCGAGAACATCTGCAGGGCTGTGGGTTCCTCATTCCTGTTATAGCCTGTAGAAGGTTTTCTTAGCTGCTAGACAATATATAGATAATTTCTTTCTATACTATAATTTGCCAAACTCATTTCCTTTGAAGTCATTTTTGTCCCGGGGCAGAACAAACTCTAGGTAGTAAGCTGTAACTGAAAAAGCTCACCCTAAATGAGCCTTCCCAAACTTGCTGCCTCCAAATGTTTTAGACTACTACAACTTGCAACATTCCCACCTAGCACAACCAATTTTAAGGGATGGTGAGAGATGCAGTCCAACAACATTTGAATGGCACCTGACTGGGGAAGGCTGCCCTAAGTGAAATATCCATATGTCACCCTTTATATTGACTCAAGGATTTTATGGGCCTCAAGAGTTCCACGAAGGATTCCAGTAAAACGTCCTCTATGATGAAGCTTCATGATGAAGCTATGTTGAGGACATTGGTCTTTCAAATTTCAGCAGCGCTGTGTGAACCCAAGATTCAGCATCCCCACCTTTCGCCTTCCATTCCACTCAATTCACGACGTCATAGTTGTGAGACCCCCCAAGGCTCAGCATCTAGTGTGGCGGAACCAGTTACGCTGCCCTAAATCTGCCTCTCACATGGTTCCTATAAACTGCCATTCATGGTGTCTGTGTGTAGGTCTCCAACTCCCCATCCCAGGATTCTTGTGTTCCATATCTGCCTATCTCCTTGCCTCCTTGCACTTCCTTAATATCCTTTAGCATCATCCCTGCCCCATTTTACTCTACACGTACTGTCCATAAGGAAAAGAATTGTTGTGTGCCAAGGCATTCCATCTTTTGCAAGCCACTGTTGCAAAAGATGCAAGAGACGACATAAAGCCTATATGTTGCATTCAGTTTGCCTGTGTTTTCCCCCAGCCTCTCGTCATGGAAGCTTTGCCGTGTGCTGGAATAAAGTGCAAAGGGATAAGATGCAGCTCACAAGCTAAGACATAAGTGCCAATAGTAAAGGTACCCCTGCCCGTACAGGCCAGTCGTGTCCGACTCTAGGGTTGCACGCTCATCTCGCTTAAGAGGCCAGGAGCCGGCGCCGTCCGAAGACACTTCCGGGTCACGTGGCCAGCGTGACAAAGCTGCAACTGGCGAGCCAGCACCAGTGCCGCACACGGAAACGCCGTTTACCTTCCCACTATAAAGCGGTACCTATTTATCTACTTGCACTTAGGGGTGCTTTCGAACTGCTAGGTGGGCAGGAGCTGGGACCGAACGACGGGAGCTCACCCCGCCGTGGGGATTCGAACCGCCGACCTTACGATCAGCAAGTCCTAGGCACTGAGGTTTTACCCACAGCGCCACCCGCGTCCCCCATAAGTGCCAATACTTTGTGTTGAATGTAGGTTTTGCGGGTTCTAGTGAAATAGATCACAACACCAACTCTCAAATTCAAAACCTTCCTATGGTTTTTTGAAGTGCTAAAAATATCTACCCAAATGGTATATTTGCTTCTAAATCCTCCCACTGCCATATGGTATTATCAGATAACTGAGTCCTTTAGGAGTACTTTACATTTGTTTGACATAACTGACGTGCTCTTGGTGAGCTATAGCTGAATGAATTGCTAGCAGCTGATTCAGAAGATACCTTATTTTGACATTAAATAATGTATCCTGCTATTATAGTTATACTTTAGGGAAACTGACTTCAACAGGTTTAAAGACAAGCTATTGCAATCCTTTGAGTTGAAATATTTGAGGGGAAGGAACTGCAAGATGGATGGGAGTCTCTTAAAAGCATGTGCTTTCTGTGCCAACTTTTAAATGCTTGCTGAAAAATTTTCTATTCAGCCAGGCAATTAAGAACACACCCACCCACAATGGTTAATTGATGCCTATTGTTAACCTTCCCATGGTTTTTATTGTCTAGCTTTCTGTTTTATTGCTGAAAACCACTTCAATATTTTGAATGGCATACTGGTATATAAAAGAAGAAGAAAAGAAAAAGTGAAACTTGCATAACACTTAATAGACGTAAATGCAACATTTTGATTTTAGGTAGGAAGAATCCGATAAACTTATATAGGACCAGTGACTCCTGTCTTGACTTGCAGTATGTGTGAAATGGCTCTAGGAACAACTATGCATTTCTTAGCACCCTTTCTTCTGATGGAAGTTGATCAGGGGCAAAAAGACATACGAGGGGACCCCCCACCTACGGTTGCACTGCTCACATGTGTAGCACAGCTTTATGGGATGGGGAATTGGTTTCCATGAGTCTGGGTATGTGTGTCAAGAGTGCTTCGAGCAACCCAAAAGCTCAATTTACAAGGCTGTTTTATCCAAGCCAATTGGACTGTCCATCTCTAAGGGCTGATGAGTAAAGCAGATAGTTCAGTTTATTTTAGACATGCATCAATGGATTCCAGCTGCCTTGATTTATTTGTAAAGTTTTATTTATCTCTTGAGAAAGAGTTACTCTTGAAACCTGTAGGGAATAAAAGAAATAGTTTCTCTCCGCATTTACACAGCTGTTGTCTTGAGGTCCACCTTCAGCCACACATGTGGGATTGGACTACTTAAGAGTTCTGTTCAGAGTTCTGCATACATCCTTTAACTTTTTGGTTTAGAATTGTGCATCAATGATCACATGACTGTTTCTTTTCAGCTTATCAAAGCTTCAATGTTACCTCTGAGAACAATTTTCAGCAGATGGGCATGATTCAGCTAATGCTACAGTTCATATCTCGTCAATTTATAAAGGAGAGATTTAGGCTGCAATCCTACACACAGTCTCCCGGGAGTAAGTCCATAGCTGTCAACTTACAGATTTGAAAATAAGGGACCAGCAGCCTTGAAAATAAGGGACCAGCAGCCAAAATAAGGGACCTGCAGCCTCACCTGTTCCAGGTACTCCAGTCTTCCTGTCCTCCTGCAGTCTGGTCAAACTCATGCTGGTAGCTTCGAGAACACTGTCCAACCAACTTTGTAACCAGAGGTTCAACTGAATAGAATCTGAATCACATGCACCACAAGGCCTATGCAGCCTCAACTTAAGATGGCTCCCCAGCCTGGCTTTGCACTGCAAAGTTTGCAGCAGCACGTGCAACAAAATGGCGTCCAGCAGTCAAAAACCTCCTCAGCTTGCATTAACTAGCCACACACAAGGCATGCAAGCTGCACCCCCCAGTCGTTCTTAGACTTCTTATTGGGTGAGCAACACAGCCAAGCAACACAGTTGGAGCCTCCCTCCTCCCTGGCCGGCAGGGAGGGAGGGAGAGGAGCTGCTTCCTTTGAAATTTAAAGGACATCATTTAAGGGACATTTAAGGGACATCTATCAATAAGGGACAGCAGCGGGACATGGCGCTGGAATAAGGGACTGTCCCTTCAAATAAGGGACACTTGACAGCTATGAGTAAGTCACACTGAATTTTTGAATTAATTTTTGAAAACATATACACCACTTTTCATTCATACATATATATAACTCTCAAAGTAGTTCACAACAGAAATAAATAGCGACAGTGAAGATAACAAAATAGTCCTATAATTTCAACAGCAAAAATAAAAGTGGTGTCAGAAAGCACCCCATTAGTGCTCAGCTGATCACCACAGAGAATTCCTTCTGCAAAATGAGCACCACATTCATGGGCGTAGCCAGGAATTTTGTTAGGGGGGCAGGCTTTTGTTAGGGGGGGCAGAACCTCAGATTTGTATTGATTTTGGGTGGCAGCTACCCCCCTGCCCTCCTTGGCTGTGCCCATGCCCACAGTGGAAAAACCTACTTCTAAGCAGTGCTGGATTAGCCAATAGGCTGACTAAGCACATCGTTAGGGGACCAGCAAGGCAGAAGCACCCACCATTTGAGGGTTTGGGATGGGGAAACAATTTGACATTTGGTATTTCAAAAAAGTATCATGGGGAAAATCAGAACTCTGCTAGATTTTCTTCCCCTATATTTCTGTCCCCGCCTAAATCGGGGTGTCCTACTATAATAATATTATAATAATTTATTATTTATATCCTGCTCATCTGGCTGGGTCTCTGCAGCCACTCTGGGTGGCTCCCAACAGAATATTAAAAACGTGATAAAACATCAAACATTAATGTGCTGCAATAAATCTATGTTTTGTTGTGTTTTGTTTTAAATTTTTATTTTACAGTTTAGTATTGTTTTTGTTTTGAATTACATATGAAGGGCACAATAATCTTTTTTCTGCTTTTTAGTCAGTACAGTGGTACCTTGGGTTACATACGCTTCAGGTTACATACGCTTCAGGTTACAGACTCCGCTAACCCAGAAATAGTACTTCTGGTTAAGAACTTTGCTTCAGGATGAGAACAGAAATCATGCTCCAGCGAAGCGGCAGCAGCAGGAGGCCCCATTAGCTAAAGTGGTGCTTCAGGTTAAGAACAGTTTTAGG